ACAAAGAACACACCTTGAAGCTTAACAAGCCAACTCCAAGGTTCCCACAACTCAACTCTCAAACTCAGCCCTCAAAGCTGACTTCAAACAGTGGCAAGGACCCAGAAAAGCACTCACACTCCATCACCATGCAAGCTCTCACAAGCCCAAGGTATATAGGTGAAGAAACCAAGGAGAAAGGAAGCTCCTTGGCTCACAAAATGGAGAAGAAGGTGGCAAAGGGTGGCTGGAGGTGGTTCAGCAAAATAGAGGCACGTAGGGACAAAAGGAATAACCCTAGGATCATGTGTCATGGCCTATTTATAGGCGGATTAAACTTAATCGCACAGTGTTAACTTTAATTGCTACGCTTAGAATTTTAATCCCAAACTTTATATTCTTAACCTACTCAATTTTACAAGAATTATCATATTTTTATTATATTTTTCGGAGCACCTTTCCGGTACGTGCTTTTCATAGCCAGTATCAGTTTCTGGCATCAGTTCTCATTATTTTAACTTGAAACTCGTTTTACGAGTCCTACATATTATTCTAGTAATTATCATACCCTCATTATAATTTTCCGGGATACTTTTTCGGTACGCATTTATACCGACTAGCAGAACCGGTATCTGCACTTTTCTTCCGAAAAGCGACTTTCATCATTCTTAATCACTTATCATAATTATTAAAGCCTCTTAATAATTATTAGGGTCAATTATGGAATTATTTCCTATTTTCAAATAATTAATTATTTAATTCCTTAATTAACGGTGCGGGTTCTTACAGTGTGCAATTGATCCCCTACTGCGCCTAAAATGATGTGCGCAATTGGTCCCCTATTGCGTCTAAAATGATGTGCAACCAGTTGCGAGTAGAATGATGTGCAACCAGTTGCGCCCAAAACAGTGCGTATCTAGTTGCATTAGTTTCGTAGATAATTGCCCAATTGCTTTATTTTCATATTTTTTATTTAAATTATAATTTTTAATTTTTTTCCGTCAAAACCATGAGTGAAAAAAAAAATACTTTTCTCTTTGTCAAACCATGATTTGCATTTTATAATGTAGCATGCTATCAACAGGCAAATTACTAATTTTGTGTCTCAGCCATCCAAGCCATCATGTTTGATATATTATTTTGGTGCTATTTTAATAAGTTTTATTTATGAGAAAACCAGATTTAGGGTTTATGTTAATTGATGTTTAGGTGACTTTTTTTTATTATCATCCAATTCTGTTTTTGTTATTTTATTAAGAGAAATTGACTTTTTAAATAAGAAATTTTTTTAGATTAAATAATAGTGTAAGATAATTATACATTGAAAATTTATCAAAATGAAATCTCACTAATTTTACTTACTCTTACTATCTTCATGTTTTCTGTTAATTTCATGTCAAATATATCTTCATGTTAATTTAAAAATAGTTGACGATAGATTAAAGCAATTATGCTTTTTGTTACCAAAAAAAAAAAAGCAATTATGCTTTCAACAGCAATTACTTGTAAGTATCATATCAAAGATTATATAATTGAAATTATTTTATCTTGAGCGAGAAAATCATTGATAAACGAAAGTAAAATATTTGAAATCTGGACAATTCTGCAGTTGTCACAAAATTATTGGGTAATATTTTACCATTAAAAAAGAGGGAAACGAATATTCTTTTAACACTTCAGTCAGCAGATACAACTCATCTTGGATGAATGTTGGTAGTAGTAGTATATTATGGACAATTATGGCTTCACTTGAATCTCATAACTCAAAGGGACCCCACAATTATTGTGCATCTTCAATTCTAATTAAAATAGATGAAGATACGTTTACAAAAAAATAAATTGATGAAGATACTCCGAATTAGATGCAACTTTTGAATAGACTGAGTCTGAAAGCCTCAAACCCAAAATCAAATTAGACAGATCCATTATAATTTCGGACATTAATTGATATCTAAAAAAAAAACGATGAAGGTAGTTTATATTTCTTTACATTTTTTTTTGTCTCAAATCATATCCCCTAGCTCCCACTTTATATGTGCAATAAAAGAAACGGAACATCAAACCATGGAAAAAATGTTATCAAATAAATGAATACGCAAATAATTAAAAAATATGTAGAGAGAAAATAACTCTCTTATGTATAGTTACGGTAGAAGGTGACATTTATAACAATTATATGCTGAAAACAGAGTCACCAAATTAGGTCCCAAAGATTAAAGAAGACTTGACGTGTGCTAGCAGACATATAGTAGTGACCCCTCACCTGCTCTTTTGTGTGCATCCTCCTGAGATTGAGAATTGTCGCAACAAGAATGATGCAATTGCTATTTTTCTTCTGAAAATCAAATTATTGAAAGGTGGTCTATTAGAATGATGTTTTACATTAGCGTCCATTTGAATGAGTTTTTTTTTATAACCGATAAGCTGCTTTTATTTTCAAAACAAAAATGCTTCTCGCTTTATATTTGTGTTTGGATAAAAAATAAAAAATAATAAAAAAGAACTGACCTTAAGTGCACAATTGAAACACAAATAGTCTGACCTTAAGCCATCACTGAATGCATTCTTGGGGAGGAGGTTGAACCTTTAGCCATCACTGACCCCCGCACTCTGGATTAGTCCCATAGCCGGCTCAAAGAGTCGAAGCTTGTGGGGATACCGGAGGAAGCCAACTCGCCTCAAAGAGGTAATTAGGGTTGGGTAACTCCAAAAAAAAAATAAGTACTGCACAAATATATTTTTTAAAACCCATGCAAATGAGTTCTTAATAAATGTAATTAATATAAATAAAATAAAACAATCTTCTATCATTATTAATTATTATGTACAAATAAAAAATAAATATTACGTTTTATAATCTTAAATAATAATAAAAATTTAAGTGTAGAACACGCAATACTCATTAAATTAGTTTTAAATACGATTATTTTAAATTATATTATAGTATAATTTATCATCGCATTGTAATTTTTAAAAAGAGATTTGATTTTCTTACTATTTTTATAATGATGAATGATATGTGTTGACTTGTTTTAAATTCTAATAAAGTTGATTTAAATAAATTCTAATAAATAAATAATGAACCCAAACAGTTAAAATTTATAAATATAATTTAGAGTTAGGATATTCTTACTACACATTTTTTTTACTACCACTCTACTACCACTTTAATCACCATTGGATTCAAAAGTTATTTTTTTTTTCTCTCTCTTCATTCAACTTTTCCTCTAATCCAACGGGGATTAAAGTGGTAGTGGATTGGTAGTAGAAAAAAATAGTAGTAAGAATATCCTACCCCTATAATTTAAGGCTAACTTATCTTTAAAAATAAATAAATTAGGGCGGTATATAAATAAAAAAAACGAACTATGATACCCATCTTGACCCATCCATTGCTATTGGTGGTGTTCAATCTTGGCAGCTTAGGTTTCACTATTTTGTCTTGCATTTATGCTGGTGAATTATTGTAAACATGACAAATGGCACATACGTAAGCCCACAAAACCTGACTGATAAAAAAAAAAAGATTTTATATATAACTTCTTCAAGATTCCTCATACCAGTTACAACGCGGACGAACCAATTTGACTTGCACCTTCAGATTTGAGATTAGTGGGTCTTCCCTTGAACCAATTGAATTGTCTTCTAGAACATATTACAGGCACAAGATCATTATCAACTTCATCCTATAAAAGAATGAACAAAAGAAAAGGAAGGAAATCCCAGACCTGAAGCCAGCTAGCCTTTGTTAATCAAACCAGCTGTTAAATAAGGCATTTTAATATTGGCCTTGCAACTTCTCTTACTAAGAGAGAAAAGTGTGGGCCACCTTAAAAAAAATTTAATAATTCATATGAACATAAAAGTAAAAAGGAAAAGTATATATCATTTTAAACGATGTAAAGTTGTGTCATTTTAAGTAAGAGAAAGAGTAGATAAAAAGAAGAGATAGTTGACAAAAAAATATAAAGATGTGGGGCCCCACCTCTTTATGAAAGTAAAAAGATATAGTTATGCCATTTAAAAAAACAAACACTTTTCCTAAGTAAAAATGATTGGAAAAGAAATTTTTCTCACTAGATGAGAAATCTTTTTCCTTTAATATTATAATTTTTCCCTTGTCATATAGGATATATAACTACTCTCTTTTATCTTCTCTCCAAGTTGCGTATAAAACAGATTTTATTTAATACATATATATCACGGATTTAGTGTTAAATAACATAAGTTATATTATGTTAATAGAGAGATAGGCATAGGAAATAAAGATCATAGGGAAGAAAATGAGTGATTTTTTTTAATTTAAATTTTAAATAAAAAATATAATTTTATGTCTATTTCTATATTAAAATAACATAATTTTATGGCATTTAAAATGACAAACACTTCTCATATATCACAAATTATTGATTTTTCAAATAAATGAATAATTATAATATATTTTTTGATAAATAAGGTATTTCAACACAATCTTATCCGATTAATTTATTTTCGGAATACAGCCCGTAAGAACTAACTTCTTAAAGAAATAAATTATGTATCGGACTATTGCACAAGGTGAGACTAATCCCCTCGAGGATATTTACATACCACTACTATGCCATTTTTAATGCTAAATCATGATTCATCATGACATATAAGGTAAGTATTTTACAGGTGGAAAGACCATTGGACCTGCACAAAAACTCATCTTGTGCAAAGAAAATGAAACAAAAAATAACGTCACATGTTATTGAGGTGTTTGGATACTGTGGAACTGAATCGAAAAGGACACAATGCTCTGAGTGAAAAAGCTGAAATAGATGATTCATCACAGGCAATTATTTTTTTTAGCCCCTCTCATAGGGATAGAAACACAGAGTACTGGTCAATAAATGAATGAAACAATTCAAACAAATGCGTTTTTATATTATTGTTGCATAATATCAACTATGTCATTATATATTCCATCATCACTATCAGCAGCCTCTATTTTTTTTATTTTTTTTTTCCTTGTTTTTTCCATACCCATGTTACTTTTTGGTTCCCAACACCATAAATGATTGATTTTAGTTGAGTTCCGGTTTTCGTTCTATTGTTTTGTCATCTTCTTGCAGCACACGCCTCCTTCTTCTCTTTTGCTATTTGACTTTGACCCATTACCCCTGTTTTTCTCAGACTTGCCAATTCATTTTCTTCATTTGCATTCAAAGCTTCATTCCAATTTCAGTTACAGCTTTACAACTTCTCTCTGTTGTTAACGTTACATGATTCTGATCCTTTATTAGTATGATAGTATGGCTTTTCCTGGTTTTATGGAAGATTGGATGAAGGCTTCTTATGTGGTCTTTGCGTTCTGCTGTGCTTTATTCCTCGGAGCCATAAAAGGTTCTCTTTTTCTTTTACCCTTTTTCCATGCTTTGTAGTTCATGATTGTATCTTGACTACTAAAGATTCATTTATTCTTTCTTTCTTTCTTTCTTTCTTTTCATGTTCTAAAATCTAAAGTGAATTTGGATGATGGGTTCTTGAAATTTTCTTTTAATTATGCAGGCTTAGTTGTGGGTCCTGTTGCTGCTTTGTTACTGATTATAGGGAACGTTGGGGTGATTCTGGGGCTGTTTCCTGCACATGTAGCTTGGACTGTTTATACCCATTTGAAGTAATATACTTTCTACAACTACCCATTTTCTTCTCTGGAATTTCATTACCTGATACGTGTGGATGGTTTTGTGTTTGCAGGATTCAAATATTTGATGCACCCTTGAAAGTTGCTATTTTGATTGCTTTGCCTGCTTTGTTTGGTTTATGGTTGGGTCTAGGCATAGCTGGAAGCGTTCTTGTTGGTGTGGGCTATGGCTTTTTTACCCCATGGGTTTCAACTTTTGAGGCCTTCAGATATGATAATGAATCCAAGAAATTTTCTCACTGTGTCGTGGTGAGGTTCTTAAGATATTCTTGCCTTAACAGCAACACTTGCCTGTTTAATTTATTAGCACATTGTTTTCTTATGGTAAAGGTTATTAGTTAATTTTATGTGCTGTCACTGAACTCAGGATGGAACCTTGGGAACTATCAAGGGAAGTTGCACCGTAGTAAGGGATTTTCTAGATATGTGCTACCATTCATACCCAAGTTACTTGAAGGAACTGCGTGAATCACATGGTTCAGATGAGCCTCAGAGGCTAAGGTAATGGTCCCGAGGTCATTTCTTTCTGGGTTTAATATTTTTATTTTTGCTGCAGCCACACTGTATAAAAGTGAGTGAATCATATTAATATTTTCTCTCTTTTCTCCTTACAATGGGATCCATTCACTCTTATGTGAGTATGACAGTGTGGTAGGGAAATTTTTTCTATAATAAAAGAAACATTTTTCCTTTGCTTTATTTATGTGACCCTGTGTTTCCCTTCCTTTTTTAACACTAGTAAACATACATTTTTTTTTTGTTCCTCAACTTTCACCTTGGAAACTTGTTTTGCAGGTTAATTCATGTTCCTGCATGTATCACAGTTGGGATAATGGGGCTAATTATCGAGATTCCACTTTTCACTGCAATTGCTATAGTAAAGAGCCCCTACCTGTTGTTCAAGGGTTGGTTCAGACTTTTGCATGATTTAATCAGCAGAGAAGGTCCATTCCTTGAAACAGCTTGTGTTCCCATTGCTGGTTTGACAATATTCGTGTGGCCACTTGTTGTCATTGCCAGCATTTTATTGGCTATTTTCTCAAGCATATTTGTTGGACTTTATGCATCAGTTATAGTGTATCAGGTTTGATCACTCTTTTTGTCCTTCATTCATAATTACCTTGACTGAATCATTGACCTTACCTTTAAACCTTCATGTGAGTGCAGGAAAAATCTTTTCGTAGAGGTTTAGCCTTCTTGATTGCAATGGTTGCTGAGTTTGATGAATATACAAATGACTGGCTCTATCTTAGAGAGGGGACATTCTTTCCAAAGTACACATTTTCCCAATTACTTTCCTCTCCTATCTGCCATTTATTTCGTTAACATCACCATTCAATTTGGTTGCAGCCAGGCCCCAGTATCGAAAGAAAATGAATTCTCAATCATCGGAGTTTTCTACTAGAGGAAATAGTGTGGCTGGAAGCAAATTAAGTACTCCTATGGAGCCACCTGCAATGTTTATGCCTAACTTAGCTCCTTCAAGATCAGTAAGAGAGACCATTCAAGAAGTGAAAATGGTGCAGGTATGAGGTTTTTCTTCTTTTGCTTTCAGCTTTCAAGCACCAAGGGTCTAAGCAATTATTTGTCTTTTAAATTAGGTTAGTATAGGTAAATAATCTCACCAACCTTATCACTGATAAAGTTATTTCGGAAAAGACTGGAAAGAAAAGGGTATTTGAAATATTATTGAATTGTGTAAATAATCTGTACAAAGAGGTCTCTATTTATAGAGAATGAAAACCCTAATACTTGACCTAATACTTGACTTAATGGGCTTGGCCCAATACAACAAATACTAATAATAATAAAATAACAAATATTTACAACATAACAAATATTTACAACATTCCCCCTCAAGCTGAGGAATAGATATTTATCATTCCCAGCTTGCTAGTAAGTTCTTGAAATCTGTCTGAAGGAAGTCCCTTTGTCAATAGATCAGCTAATTGACGCCCAGTGGGAATGTATGGAGTGGTAATCAACCCGCTATCAAGTTTCTCTTTGATGAAATGACGGTCGACCTCAATATGTTTAGTCCGATCATGTTGAACCGGATCATGAGCTATACAAATAGCGGACTTATTGTCACATAGCAGCTTCTTAGGTCCCTCACATTTCATTTTGAGATCATCAAGTATAATTTTCTGCACTTGATCTGGCGACCACATCTTGTTTCTTACTTCTCCATGTCACCAAGTTACCGCAAAGAAACATGCAGTAACCAGTGGTAGAATGACGGTCAGTCACGGATCCAGCATAATCAACATCAGTGTAAACTTCTAAAGAGAGATTGCCATCACGTCGGAATAACAATCCTTTACCAGGAGTAGCTTTAAGATACTGCAGAATTCTCTCTATTGCCTGCATGTGTTTCTCCTTTGGATCGTGCATAAACTGACTGACAACACTAACAGCATAAGCTAGATCTGGTCTAGTATGAGCCAGATATATCAATTTCCCAACTAGCCGTTGATATTGTCCTTTATCAACTGGAGGACTCTCTTCTTCATAGCCTATCTTGTGATTCTGCTCAATAGGAGTATTAGAGGGTTTACACCCGAGCTTTCCTGCTTCTTTGAGAAGATCAAGAACATATTTCCTCTGGCTAATAAAAATTCATTTCCTTGAATGAGCTACTTCTATCCCTAGGAAATATCTCAGTTTCCCAAGGTCTTTGACTTCAAACTCAGAGGCAAGCCGTGTTTGCAGAATCTGTTTTTCTACAAAATCATCACCCGTGATAATAATATCATCAACATATACAAGGAGCACAGTAAGCTTCCCATTATGGGAGTGCTTGAAGAAAAGAGTGTGATCTCCTTGACTCTGTCTGTATCCTAAGGTCATCATAACCTTAGTAAACCTTCCAAACCAGGCACGAGGTGACTGCTTCAATCCATACAAGGCCTTTTTTGATCTACAAACTTTATTTTCTCCCTTCACAGAATCAAAACCAGGAGGGATTTTCATGTAGACTTCTTCTTCTAACTCACCATTGAGGAAAGCATTTTTCACATCAAATTGATTTATATCCCAATTGTAATGGGCAGCAAGGGATAACAAGACTCTCACCGTATTCATCTTTGCAACTGGAGCAAATGTCTCTTCATAATCAATGCCATAGGTTTGAGTGTAACCTTTGGCAACTAAACGAGCCTTGTATCTCTCAAGAGTTCCATCAGAATTATATTTCAGGGCATAAACCCATCTGCACCCTACTGCTTTCTTTCCATTAGGTCTATCAATAACCTCCCATATTTTATTTTTCTCCAACGCATTCATTTCCTCTTGCATGGCTTGAGCACAATTCCCATCTTTCAAGGCTTCATGTACTGATTTTGGGATTGCAATAGAGTCTAGTGCTGAAACAAAGCTTTTGTGCTGCACAGAAAGATTAGCAGAGGAAACAAAATGGGAGATAGGGTATTGAGTACAAGAGGGACAGGAGGGACAAGATTTCTTGGGACAAGCTCTTTTTCCTTTTCTAAGAGCAATGGGTAAATCATCAGAATCAGTAGTAATGGGTAAGTCATCAGAAGTATTAACATCATGATCAGAAATATGAGATTCAGGACTTACCAGTGGTTCAGACGATTGAGGTTGCTGCTGAGGCAATGTGGGCTATTTCCTTCTTTGATATACCAACTCAGGTGTCATAATCTTCCGTATCTCTGGTGTACTTGATGTATCAATCACAGGAGAATCAGTCACAGGAGGATTACTCACAGGAGGATCAGACACAGGAGGAACAGGACCAAGAGGAGGATACACTGACACAGGTAAAGGAGTAGACACTGAAGTTTCAAACTCAAAAAAGGGAGGTGATGAGATTTCTGGTGAAGGATTCTCCCCCTGAAGATGAGGACCTTGGAAAAAAGACTCAGATTCCTGAAATGTAACATCCATAGAAACAAAAAAATTTCCTACTACTAGGGTGATAGCACTTGTAGCCCTTCTTATCAAGAGCATAACCAAGAAAAACACATTTAATAGCCCTAGGGTCCAACTTACTGCGATGATGTTTATGAACATGAACAAAAGCAACACACCCAAACACACGTGGAGGAAGACTCATAATTGGAATAGAAGGGAAAAAAGAAGTCATAGAGTGAATAGGACTTACATGGTCAAGTACCCGAGTGGGTAAACGGTTGATCAAGAATGCTGCAGTAAGAATAGCATCTCTCCAATAGTATTTGGGTACATGTGTCTGAAACATTAATGCACGAGCCACTTCAAGAAGGTGACGATTTTTTCTTTCAGCAACCCCATTCTGTTGGGGGATATTAACACAAGTAAGTTCATGAATCATACCGTTATTTCTTATAAATTGGGAAAAACTGTGATTAACATATTCAGTACCATTATCTGTTCTTAGTCTCTTGATTTTTTTACCAAACTGGGTCTCAACCATTTTATAAAATTGAAAGAACAGTTGTGGTACCTCAGACTTTTCATGCATTAAGTACACCCAAGTTACACGAGTGCAATCATCAATAAAAGAAACAAACCATCTATTTCCAGAAGCATGAGGGACTTTAGAGGGACCCCAAACATCAGAATGAATAAGATCAAAAGGTTCAACACTCTTAGTAATACTAGAAGGAAAAGACACACGATGATGCTTAGCAAATTGACAAACATCACAATGAAAAGACTCAACAGACTTAGACAAAAACAATGACGGGAATAAAGATTTGAGTAAACTAAATGGAGGATGACCTAAGCGCTTATGATGAAGCCAAATCAAAGAATCAGCAGTTGATTGACCATGAGACATCAAGATGTGATCTGTTACTTTATTTGCAGAAGATTGTGACACCACATAGTACAGCCCACCTTCCTCTTTAGCACTACCAATCGTCTTCTCCGTGGCGAGATCCTGAAAAACACAATGGGTAGGATAGAAGGTTACAGTACAATTCAAATCTTTTGTAATTTTATGAATCGAAAGAAGATTCGTGGAGAGTTTAGGAACATGAAAAACATCCTTAAGATGTAAGGACTGTTGTAAGTTTATGTCACCAGAACCCGCAACTGTGTATGAGAGCCATCAGCTACGGCTATTGTATGAGTTCCAATGGTAGGATGATAAGAAGTAAAAGAGTCAGCACAACAAGCCATATGATCAGTAGCACCAGAATCAACAACCCAAGAATGTTTAAAATCATTACATGAAGAAATGAAAGAATAAGTTTTGGAGCTCATACCAGTCATAGTCAAAGTACTAGTATCAGATGGCTTACTCAAAGAATCAAGGAGGGTTCGGAGCCGTTCCAACTCATCTGGACGAAATGCAGAATTTATTTTAGAGGAAGTAAAATGCTGTTGACTATGCATCCTATTCATCTTTTCTAAGACAGTTTGCTTTCCATGGAGGCGAAAGCATAGATCCTTGATATGACCTGTTCTTTTACAATAAGAACACCATCGATCATCTCTCTTAGGTTCAGAAGTTGCACCATCAGAAAACTTTGTAAAGGAACTCCTTTGAGAAGAGGCCATACTGCACAAAACTTGGCAAAGAATAGCACCAAGAAGCCAAAAAATCACAAACAAATACTAAACAACGTCAGATCTGACCGAAACAGTAACACAGCGGCCGAAACAGTAACACAGTGGCCGGAACAAATACCAAACAACGTCAGATCTGGTCGGAGGCAAGAAATTGGTGAAAGAACAAACTCCAAGAAGCCAAGAAATTCGAAAAAAATACCAAACGATGTCCAATCAAAGTGGAGAGCACAGATCCAGAGCCGTCTTGGAGAGACGATCAGAACCATGGTAATCCGCGGCCGAGAACCACCGTCACGCGCCGGTGAAGCTGGCGGCGCATGGGATTCACGCGCAGAGACAAGGGCGGCGCGTGGAGGCGCGTCTGACCTCCGATGGTGCTGGGTTTTTCAGGCAAAGGTCGTCCGGCGAGCGCGATGGTTTCTGTGGCTGTTCGGAGTGAAGAATCCACCGGAAAAAGGGTCCAATCGCGATGAACAGGTTCTGTACGGTGGTTCTAAGTTCTGTACGTTGATTCTGTGAACGTTTGTTTCTTGTTGTGTAATAGACAAGAAAAAGAAAGAGGAACAGTGAAGCAATGGTCTTCTCGGTCCAAGAGGTCCTCGGAAAAAAATTTCCGGTGGCGGCTGATGGCAGGGAGAGACGTAAAAAAGAAAAAAAAGGTTTCGTAGGCGCGGAAGCAGAGCCCTCAGGATCGAGAGCTCTGATACCAACTTGAAAGAAAAGGGTATTTGAAATATTATTGAATTGTGTAAATAATCTGTTCAAAGAGGTCTCTATTTATAGAGAATGAAAACCCTAATACTTGACCTAATGGGCTTGGCCCAATACAACAAATACTAATAATAATAAAATAACAAATATTTACAACAAAAATCTCTGTACTTGTCCTAGTTATAAGCATTTCTCAACATAGGGAAAACTTGGCCCTCTACTGATATTTGTGTTATATTGCATTGCCATTTTCAATCAAAAAAAAATTCTAAGATCAAATGTTGTGCTTAGATTACACTATTAGTTGCAAGGATGTTATCTATTCCCAAGTCAAACCAAGAAATAGACTCTTTGGTAGATGATAGAAATAACCGAGTAAGTTTGCTCCATGAAGAAAAAACATATATAAAACAGAATTAAACAAAACAGGTGTTAATTGCTAAATATTATCTTCTGAGCAAGTCAGATGATTAGACATATTTTAAGGATTTGTATTCTGGTTTAATCAATCTTTTGTTTTAACGACCAAAAGGAAAAAAATGTTTCAAGATTTTGATGTCTAAATTCAATATCCGCAGATCGTTTTGTATTAGTTGCTGTCTTGAATAACATACATTAAAGAACTTTGCAGAATCGCTAACCAATAAAATTGTTAAAAAAAAAATGTATACTGCTATTTGAGGCGTCAGATATCTAGGGGGAAATTTTTTTCCCAAAGCTTTTTGTTAATTTCTTTCATTGCAACATCAAATGTGAGATCTTATCTGTACCCTGAAAACAATTTTCTGATTTTATTTTGTTGCTGCTGTGGCTCTTGCCTCTTGTTAGTTTATTTAAAAACCTCTAATTTCATACTTAAAACGTAATGTGCAGATCTGGGGAAATATGATGAGGTATTGTGAGATGAGAGGCAAGGAATTATTGGATGCTGATGTACTAACAGCTGCTGATGTTTGTGAGTGGGTGAGGGGAAAGAATAATAATGAAGCTTCCGTAATTGGTGTTGGTTTACCTTGTTATTCACTTCTACAAACACTTCTCTTCTCCATCAAAGCCAACTCAAGTGGTGTATTGCTACTTGATGATTTTGAGATAACCTATTTTAACAGACCAAAGGATAAGTTGTTGGATTGGTTCTTCAGTCCTGTAATGGTTCTGAAGGAACAGATAAGGGTCATTAAATTGGTGGAAGGTGAAGTGAGATACTTGGAAAAAGTAATTCTCTTTGGAAGCAATAAGCAACGGTTTGAGGCTTGGGATAATGGTGGTTTACTAATTCCTGATGCCCTTAGAGCTGCTCAAATCGAGGGAATTTCCAGAAGGTATGTGACCTATATCTTGACTCCATAAATTAGAGAATCAATATTTATGTATTTTATGCCCTGCGGTTACAAGCGTAGAGACGAGAGTCGATTGTATACAATTTTATCCTTTCATTTTTTTTGCAAAGAGGCTGTTTACAAACTCAAACCCATTAACTTCAAGTCAGAAGAAGCAATCTTATTGCCGTTTCAAGGCTTGCCCTCAATCTCTTATGTATTTTATTGCGAGACTAAAATGTTCAGTGACTTTACATTGTGAGGGTGTGTGTGTGTGTGCTCTAGAATATCAATAAGCTATGCATGTGACTTTTGTTTTTTACTTACTTCTTAGTACTTATTGTATTAGAGAATTTGACTTATGTGTATGCAATGATGTATACATTGTTAGGATGATTGGAATGATAAGAAGTGTGTCAAAGCTTCCAACTTACAGAAGGAAGTTTCGCCAGGTTGTTAAAGCTTTAGTTACTCATTCTCTGGAGAAAGATGTTTCAGCAGGAAAGGCATTAATTACTCAGTGTATGGCTAAAGATGTTTCTGAAAAGGCTTTAGTTTCTCATTATGTGGAGAAAGATGTTTCTGGAAGATCCACTGGGTCTATAATATCATTTGCCTCAGATGACATTGTTTAAGATAAACTAAACTAGTTTTTTTCTTTATTGTTGTCAATAAATCATTGTAAATTCCTTTAGATTGTTATTGATTTCTGTAAAAGAGCACATTGAAGTTCATTATAGTCTGATTGAAGGCATTCTCCTTTTTTTCTTTCCTCGTCCTTTTTTATTTTGGATAAACAATTTGGCTTCAAAATGTACAACAGTTTGCAATTCAAAATGCTTGTTTGAGTGACTTTAAACAGAGGGACCTTCAATTTTACCTCTCAAGCTCAGTCTCTAGTTGTGTGATTAATGAACAAAACTTTCAAAGAATCAAGTTTGAGATCATTATCAAGCAAAATTAGTTTGTTGCAACAAAGCGAAAGTAAAATAGTATGATGGTATTGTTTTTATTGTTTGTTAAACATTGGAAAGTGCTTGTTATGACTATTGTTAATTCATATAATAAAATTTAATAAATTTAATTTATATGGATTATTAGTCTACTATATTATGAGTTTAATAACATGAATGATTCGATACATTATTGAACGCATTAAAATTAAACTCTAATTTATATGATTGGCAGTTGTCCATCAAAGTTCACAACCTTAAACTCTAATTTATTGACAATAAATCACGGCATCGGTTGAGTTATTTATTTGTTATGACCAATTCATTTACGTTCGTAATACCCCCAACCAAAGTTTACAACGTTCAACATTGATCTGCTTCCACGTTCTGAACGAAATTTTACTGCAATTTATCCTAAGATGCGTAGGTAGATCTTAAGATTCTAAAAATTTGTACAGATCCGCCAGCGAGTCATGGAGGATCTAATGAAATTTTCGTTCTGCAGGGTTTTTCAGTTCTTTTTTTCTTTTTTTTTTGCGCAGAGGGCACTTGGGAACACAAAGCCCACCTGGCCCTCTTTTTGGGTGGATCTTAGGAGCGCAAGCCCATTATTACTAAAAAAAGGGTTAGATATCTTTCATCAATAATAAATTGGATTAGATCAGTTTTGAGGAAAAAAATTAAATTGGATTAATAAATATAAGGATGATATTACGTTACACAATTTCATTTTAATGTATATTAATTTTTTTTTTTGAATTGCTCCAGTGGTTTCCGGGGCTTCGTCCCGACTATAATATTATAAAGGTTATACTTACAACCTATTTTCATTTACAACTTCTTAGAATTATATCTTAACCGTTGATTTCCGTCAATAAACGATTATTATTTTCTCAAATTAAATTAATTAATTAATTATTAATGTGCACCATTGATTGTCGAAGATCAACAGTTAAGATATAGTTATGAAAAGTTATAAACAAAAATAAGTTGTAAATATAACCTTTCTCTTATAATATTATATATTTATGAATGTTCAATTTAGTTAAAATTTAATTTACATAGACCGTGGAGATAATATTACGCAATATAACAGTTATGTTTGTTAAATCTATCTTTTGTAAAAATTTATTAAACAGTGTAATTGTCCAAAACATACTCTGAAATAAGGGTGTAAATAGACTAGGTTAGACTTTAACTTAAATAGGCCAGACCTATATAAAAAATTTGGATCTAATCTGACCTATTAGCCTGTGTAGGCCCAGATTACAAGTCTGGCATGACCTATATTTAGAAAATAAAAGCCTTGATCTATTAGTCTGTTTAAGCATATTAAATATTTTATAATTAAAAATAACTAAAATAATATTACTTTACTTTCAAAATTATTAAAATACTGATTTTATTTATTTTATTTAAAATAAATAATATGATATAGGTCGCTTGTAGGCTGATAGACCCGACACGTACAAAAAAATCTATGGTCTGCTTTCTAAATAGTTTTTTTAAAAGTCTAGATATGTTCTATTTGACTATTTGTAATAGGCCAAATCTGGCTTAATATAAGCTAAGCCATAGGTCCCTGTAGGCCGGCCTAGCCCATTCACATCCCTACGCTGAAGTAAGTGAATTCCACCTCTCTCTCTCTATCTCTCTATATATATATATATATATATATATATATATATATATATATATATATATATATATATATATATATATATATATATATATATATATATATATATATATATATATATATATATATATATATATATATATATATATATATATATATGTGTGTGTATGACAAAATCATTTTTATAACCACTGCACATACAACAAGCTAGGATACGATTTCGTATACAAAATCATTTTTATAACCACTGCACATACAGCAAGTTAGGATACAATTTCGCATCCTGGCCTTTTTTTCTTTTTAAGAAAAGCAGTGGGGTCCATTTTTTTGTGTCAGCTGTAGATAGCAGCTCTTTGTAGTCGCTGCAGAAAAAAGTATTCCATATATATATACAGAACTAGCGAATATATTATGGAAGCATACATGCATGATTTAATTGGGAAGGTATTATATATATATATATATATATATATATATATATATATATATATATATATATATATATATATATATATATATATATATAGGGTCAGGATCATTTTACATCAGTGTAGGTTACACTCTTAATCTTGTTCGTTTATCCCATTTATATCTAAGGGCTCTAATTTTTTAGTAATGTGAGCCATTAGATACAAGTGGATCAATGGTCAAGATTGAGTGTAAGACTTCTAACTCTTACACAGGTGTAAGGATATCCTGCCTCATATATATAAATATATATATATATATATATATATATATATATATATATATATATATATATATATATATATATGTTGAAACAAGCTTGGTTTTGAATCTTTGATACTTTTTTTTATACCAATCATAATTATCTCTTTGAGATAAGTTGGCTCCCGATATTCCCATAAATTTTAATTTTTTGAGTCAGTTATGAGACTAAGCTCGAATCGGGATATAATTAAAATTCTTCACTCCTCTTCAAAGAAATATTTTATTCGTAGTTATTAGAAGTAGGGTTGGCACAACGGGTGAATCCGGCTCGATCCGTCCCAACCCGCATGCAACCCGAAAAAAAATAAGTCGGGTTAGGGTTGGCTAAAAAATATGGCTCGTGAGTTGACTTGAAAAAATTGCTCGCGGGTTGGCTCGTTTTCAGCTTATTTAAATGAATCTATAGTATTAATGCACCAGCTATATGGCTTCCATCAGCTTAAACAAAGGGTTACAAAATGAGAAATAAAAACAAAATATTCTAGTTTTGTATTTTCTTCACAACAAATTTGCACCAACATCAAGAAACAATCAGAATCACTTGCTACCAAGTGAGTAAGATATTTGAAACAAACAGAGCCAACACAGCCTAACAATATAAAAATGGTAAGGATGTAAGAAGATTAATGATTTAGGTTTAGAAAAGGAAGAAAGATGATGACAACATGTGTGAGTTTTGTCCATTTTTGTATATTATATTTTGTATTTTTTAAAAAAAATAAAAAAATAAAAAACTCAACCCGCGAGCTGGACCGTTTGACCCGCGGGTTGGCTCATTTTTTCCTGAACTGGCTGGGGTCGAATTGGCTCGAATTGGTAGCTCATTTTTGTCAACCCAACTCGACTTATTTTTGGCGGGTTACAAACCAACTCGACGGGTTTGCTCATTTTAGTTAACCCTAATTAGAAGCATGAAGCTAGTAAACTAAACGGGAAAAAGAGACTCAAATATGAGTTACACTTTTTGTTTAAAAAACTTCCTTATTGAATTCTTGACTTTTATAATTTTGGCTTATTAGTTGATTTATGTATCCCGGGGTCATATATATATATATATATATATATATATATATATATATATATATATATAGAGAGAGAGTCAGGATCATTTTACACTAGTATAAATTACACTTTTAATCTTGTCTATTGATTCCATTTATATCTAAGGGCTCTAATTTTTTAGTAAAGTGAGTCATTGGATACAAGTGGATCAATGGTCAAGATTGAGTGTAAGACTTCTAACTCTTACACTGGTGTAAGAATATTTTGCCCCTATATGTATATATGGGTCAGGATCATTTTACACCAGTGTAAGTTACACTCTCAATCTTATCCATTGATCTCACTTATATCTAAGGGCTCTAATTTTTTAGTAATGTAAGCCATTGGATACAAGTGGATCAATGATCAAGATTGAGTGTAAGACTTCTAACTCTTACACCGGTGTAAGAATATCCTACCTAAATATATATACATATATGTATATACATACATACATACATATATATATATATATATATATAAGGAAAAAATATTTCTCCGGCAACTTGAAATAAGTATATTTCCGGCCACCCTAAAACTACCTCGTTTTGTTTATTTATTTCTTTATATTAATTGATTTACCTTTGAATGATTATGATTCCCTTTTTCTCTCTCTTCCTTCATTACCATTGATTCATCTTTGTACGGTTATGATTTATTAGCCGGATATAAAATTATCTCCGACAGCTTGAGAAACGATAAGCGCTATATATATATATATATATATATATATATATATATATATATGGAGGTATGATCATTTGATATCGGTGTTAAATTTGAAGTTTGACACCTCATCTAAGAGCCGTTAGATCAAAAAAGATCAATGGTGTCACATGCTTACAAATCAGAGTCATTGATCTTTTTTTATCTAACAGCTCTCAGATGAGGTGTCAATTTTCAAATTTGACATCGGTGTCAAAGGATCCTGCCTCATATATATGAGTGAGAAGAACAAATTTAAATTTTTAAATTTTGCATCAATAGTTAGGTTTAAAACATGGAAAAAAAGGTGTGACATTTGAAATGACACACCTTATATCTTTTCACTCTTATAAAGAGGTGAGACCCACACTTTTAAAAAATTTCTCACCCATTCTCTCTTCCATGATTTATCTCTTTCTCTCACTTAAAATGATACAACTTTGTATCTTTCAAAATGATACATTCTTTCCCCTTAAAACATCGTTCATCTTATTAGATATGCTTCCATACATGGGACATATCACATATCAAGTGAGAGTATTGAATTATAGCAAGAGATGAGAGGACAGTTAGGATTGAAACTTACTTAGAAGTAATAGGATTATTTAAAAAAGTCACATGACTTTTAACTTTTAATTTTCGCCTACATACATGATTTGATGGTAAAAACTTATTCC